CTGAAATACTGCCACTTTGCTTATTCCCACAAATTTACACTGGAACTTACCAAAATATTTAGTGGGGTAACTTAATATGTAGCATTCCCCCCCCCCCAATTTTAGAGGGAAATCCAACATCATGTCATGTTTATCAGCTCTTATCAACCTTTCAGTAAGCCAGTGTTTCTCAGCCTCCGCAACTTTAAGATGTGTGCACTTGTCATGTAAGATGTAAGTCCACACATCTTAAAGTTGCTGAGGTTGAGAAACACTGCAGTAAGCCAACTATTTCCTGTGTGATAAGAAAGCATAATCACTCCATGGCTGGAGCTTCATCTGGTCAACAAGGATCCTGGTTACTGGGCTACTTTTCAGATTATGCATCAATTTCCTATTACACACAGTCCTGGCCTCAGAGATAGAGCAAGATAAAGAGTGAACAGATACTCAAAATAAGCCCATGTTTTTGTATGCTTGGAGACAACCCTGATGTCTTGAGGTCAATTAGTGATGAAGAAGAACAAAATAAGAAGACTTCTGTGCCGGAATATGGAGGATATATGAAAAGAATTAGCAACGAATGAATGAAATGCTAGCGGATTATGCTAAATAAAGGATATGAGCATGAGAGGCATTCATCCTGTATTAGGCTGCACAGCCTTGGGTTGCAAGTTTTGCTTTCTCCTTTTAGATACCATGATGCAAGGAAAGAGCTGTGCTATAAAAGCTAAAAAAAAGGAGCATCATTTGACTATCAGACAAAAAAAGTATTATAGCAATACTAAACAAATTAAAAATAATTGCAAGTTTTAAAAATTGTGAATAATTTTTCAATAGGCAAAATAATTCGAAAGGCAGGAACACAGATACACACACAGATATGAATTTAACATGACAACTAAGAAAAATGTTCTAGGGTTCACATGACAGGACAATCCTTAGGACAGACTGGAAACTTCTTACTGTCTATAAGTTGATAACATTGGCTATATTTATTGGGGAAGCTGGGAGTTGAAATTCAGGTACAGGTTCTTCACCCAGCCTTAGAATAATGCTTCTTTTCTATCCTCAGAAGAATAATTCAGCAAAAACACTGGGCCATCTAGAAGTCTTTCTAGAAGCGAAGGAAATTCCATCTGGGAATCAGAATCCAAATTGGAAACCTAATATTTTGGCCTCAGATAAGGGATTAAGATTAGTTTCCTAAATAAAGCAGAATTTAACGCATAAATCAAGTACCTCCATAGGAATCAAGTATACACAGACAGATCAGTTGTAAAGAAATTAAATATATTTAGAACTACTAACATCAAAGGTGCACCTCCATAAGAATTTTTAGTATTACCAAAACACTGTTTTGGTGTTTTGGGTATTTTTTCCAAATGCATTTCTGCTTGGTGGCACATAATAATGAATACTATACATTAACTGCTATATTTATAATCTAATACAGCATCACGTCTCAATACATAGTGTTATAACTGTGGAAGTAGTAGGTTCAATATGAAAAGTCCCTTATGTGCAATCGTTTGCATTTAGAGCATAGGGATCTGCCACAAGCCACAGCACAATGCTGCAACAGCATAAGGAACAAGATTTTCTATTGCTCACAGTCTGGTAACAAGCACCCCTGCAGCTTTGCACAAATACATGTTTAAAATTTTTTAATTTTAAAATTATTCTGTGGTTGTTTGGAGTTGCTCACCTGTTTAGGTGCAAACTGAAAAACAGGCTCAGGCAGGGAAAAAAAACCCTACCATATTTCTTGCTGCATATGCCTTCCTCTTGCCTGAGAGCAAAAGGAAACATGAAGAACATATTGCAAAACAAATTTTGCAGGTTTATAACCCTTACTACTTGGAGTTGTTTTAATATCACTAGACTGAGTTATATCTAACTAACACATGCAACTGTTTTAACTTTTTTTTACAGAAATATAAAAGTATAGTTTGGGGTCAAAAACAAAAAACAAGGAATAAGTAGTTTAGCAAATAGAGGATGGGAAGTGTGCTGTGGGCCATACAAGAAAGCTAGATGTAATCTTAAGATAAAATGTTGCTGCAGATTGATGGCAGCTCAGTGACACTTGCAAATGATGTCTGAAGACCACTAATCAGCTGTGATAAATGTTTCAGGAACCTACTCCACTTACACTGACAATGGAAACACTGGACAATTATTTTAATTAATGAAATTGTTGATAATCATTAAAGAGCAGTATCTGTGGGAAGAGGGCATGGAGTTGAACATAGCATCACATCAGTACAATGGAAGCTCCACCCCTTTTCTATGTGCATCATGAACTGCATGCAGGTATGAAAGAGAAGGAGCTTCCGTCACAACAGGGTGGCACAGCTTTCATGGTTCTGACAACAGTAGTGGATTGTGTAGACCACTATGCTGCCAAGGGCCTCCAAAAGTAGTCGAAGGCTAGCCTGAGGACTAGGCAGGATACCAACTGTTCTTCAGGGTAATGAGCACTTATTGAACAAACTTACTACCCTTTCAAAAATATCTGGAGCACGCCAAACTCTGAGATTGTGTTGGATGCGGCAATTCCTACTTCAGTACTAGCTGGAAAAAGATGCCCTGTTCTGGGCTGAAAAGATATAAAGGAAAGGAGACCTACAAACTGATGCATGATGTATCACTTAGACCTTAGTTGAAAGTTCACTGAGAGGATAGCTAAGGTACTGCACCTTTTTTATGCCGGCTATATTCAACACAGAACCTCAAGATAGCCTCAGTCAGCCAAGCAAGAAACCAGAAAAGGAGGCAGAGTCTGACTAGCTTGGAAGAAGGCAGAAGTTGATCCTTGTCTGTTCTAGGCAGACTTACAGTACCAGGACCAGTGTTTGTAAGTGGGATGGAACTGTGACTGTACTGCATACAAGCCTATATCTTGCTGAAATGAGGGAGTTCTGTTTCTCTGCTGGTTTCATATAAGACAACAGACACAGGAAAAGAGACTTCCATACTTAGCATTCAACCTGGGCTTACCTGAATCACTAGTTTATTTTCTTTATTTGGTAGAATCCTGTAGGTATATACACAATTCCGATACCTGGAATACATGAGGAAAAACCATTAAAACAGTTCAGAAAGCAAAAAATAATCCTGGGAAACCTTCTAGCATTCTCAACGGTCCTTAGAGTCGCTTATAAGGTATGCCTCCACCCTACCTTCCCGTATGAAAGTGCTTCTGTCAGTTCTCAGACACTATACTTTTAGTTCTGTCTTGCCAACAGCAGTCTCCGGCATGGTTTTTGTCCTTTAAAGCCACATCTTTTTGTGATAAAGTCTTGTCAAGTTTCTTTCTTTCTATAGTATTTCACATATGATTACATTTCTATCTAACAAAGTTTCAGTCTTGATATTTATTTATTTCCCTTTTTCCTCACCTACTTGTAAAAATAAATCTGAAGACTTCATGTTAGCATTTTGTCTCCAAGAAGATTATGTTTAAAAGAACAGAGATCCCCAAAGCTTTAACCTATTCATGTGATGATTTCAAACTTGCTTTTAAAAATTTAAAATCAAGAAACCATTTTTAGCATCAAAAAGTACGTACAAAGTAATAAACAATTAAAGTATCTCTGAACATACGTACACTGCTTTTTCATTTTTGACAACTTACAATCTTTTTAAGAGCAGTTGTCAAATTAATCAGTCAAAGGATACTTCAAAAAATATTACAATGAAAGGGTTGCACTTGAAAATAAGCTGACAATTCCATTTTTCACTCAGCTACAAAGGAAGAGAAAGTTGCTGCTGCTGATTCTACATACACCGCCTGATTTACAGAGTCATTCATCTGTGTATCTGTGGCTCCATGATGGGCATAATTATTGCACATGCATTAGAATCCTTTGAACAGTGTTTCTGAACTGTGGCAACTTAAAAATGTGTGGACTTCAACTCCCAGAATTCCCCAGCCAG